CAAAACAGCCGGTTTCTGTGGTCCCCCTCAGCACAGGCGGCTTTTGACAAACTCACCTCTGCCCCTGTCCATCATCATGACCCGGCCCTACCTTACGTGCTGGAGGCTGATGCTTCTGAGATTGCGGTCGGGGCAGTCCTTTCTCAGCGCCTTGAAACCACAGCCTTGATGCATCCGGTTGCCTTCTTTTCCAGAAAGTTGTCCCCAGCCGAGAAGAATTATGATGTAGGGGACACGGGAACTCCTTGCTATTAAACTGGCTCTGGAAGAATGGCGCTACCTATTGGAAGGAGCCTCGCACCCCATCCTTATCTTCACTGGTCATAGAAATTTGGAGTACCTCCGTACAGCTAAACGTCTGAGACCTAGGCAAGCCAGATGGGCTCTCTTCTTCACCCGATTTCAAATGCATATCACGTACCATCAAGGATCCAAGACTTGTAAACCAGATGCTCTGTCCCACATGTATCCCATATCAGAGAGCTCGCCAACGACGGACGCGATACTCACGGCCTTTAACTTTCTCCTACTTTACGGATGACCTTTTGTCCAGGATTAAACTGGCCTCTTCTCTAGACCAGCTGCCCTCAGGAGAACCTCTGCAAGAGAAGGTCGGACTTTTCCTCCATGACCATGCTGTGTTTGTACCCCTTCGACTGAGAGTTCCAGTGCTCAAACTCTGCCATGACAACAAAATAGCAGGGCATTTCGGGGTGACCAAAACCACCGATCTGCTTTTGCAAACCTTTTGATGGCCTACCCTCAAGGCGGACTGCCGCTCTTACATCAATTTCTGCCCGGTATGCAATCACAGCAAAACAGAAAAGAATAAATCATGGGGTCTCCTACGCCCCCTGCCAGTTCCCTCCAGAACCTGGAAACAAATCAGCATGGATTACATAGGTGGAGCTGCCACCCTCTGATGGGTTTACATCCATATTTGTTGTTGTGGACCGCCTTACAAAAATGGCTAATTTTATTCCTATGATTGGCACGCCTTCCGCCCCGGAAACAGCTCAGGCTTTTATCAAGGAAATCGTGCGCCTCCATCGGGTCCCCAACAATATCGTATCAGATCGTGGGGTCCAGTTCACCTCCAAAGTCTGGAAGCAGCTCTGTCTTGTTCTGGATATTGGGAACCACTATTCCTCGGCCTACCACCCTCAGACCAAACAGAACGCACGAACCAGACACTTGAACAGTACCTTCGCTGTTTCTCCACCTTTGTCCAAAACAATTGGGCTTCCCTTCTTCCTTGCGCAGAATTTGCGTATAACAACTCAATACATTCTAACACCAAGCAATCTCTGTTTTACGCCAACCTGGGGTATCACCCTTCTTTTGCCCCTGTCCTACCCGCTTCCGTCCCGGCTGTCTGGAACAGAGTGGAGTTTCTGCACAACAACTTGGAGCTCCTAAAGGATACCATGGCCAAGGCCCAGCTGGATTACAAGACCATCTATGATCGAAGGCGGAGGGGGGATCTGGATCTCCAACCAGGAGACAAGTTTTGGCGGTCTACCAGGAATTAGAAGTTCATTGGGCCCTTCCCTATACTGTCCCGATGCAACCCTGTGGTCTACAAACTCAAACTGCCCTCTACTTACCGGATCCACCCTTTCTTCCATGCCTCCCTCCTGAAGCCAGTGGCCCCGGAACCCCTTTGGGGAACGTGGGGCCCATCCTCCGGCTCCCTCCATGGTTGAGAGGAGCGAAGAGTACGAGGTGGAGGCCCTCTAGGACTGCCGTAGGAGGAGTCGCAGCCGCCAGTTTCTGGTACAGTGGAAGGGTTACGGCGCTGAAGAAAATTCATGGGAACCCGAGTCGCATATCCATGCTCCTGATCTTCTCCAGCAGTTCTTCTCCAGCGAGCTGTATCCCGGACGGGCGTCCGGAGGCCGACCCTTCGGGGGGGGCCTCTGTAAGAATCTAGTGCTTACTGCGCATGCGCCAAGGGCGCGTTGCCGCAAGAAGAAATCCGTGCCAACTGCACATGCGCCAAAGACGCGTCAGTGCGCCAACCCGCGCATGCGCAGAAGACCAGATGTAAAAAGGTGGGAAAACGCCCAGGAAGTGACTTCAAACTTCAATCATCACTTCCCTATATAAGCCCAGCCCAGACACTGCCAAATTGCTGGATTATCTTCAGTCTCCCCTTGTGCCTGTGCTTGTGTGTGATCTATTTGAACTTGTTGTGACCTGGAAACCTATTTGACTATTCTTGCTTGCTGCATGCCATTGACCTCGGATTTGTATCTTGACCATTCTTCTTCTTTGCCCCTTTTGTACTCAGCTGCCAGATTGGAACCGACCCCGGCTTGGATCTCGACCATTCTTCTGATTAACCCTTGTGTACTTCGTTGCCAGATTGGACTTGACCTCGGCTCGGATCTCGTGCTAAGGCTTGCACGGTGCTCTGCACCCGTGCCACTCGGTGTCCACCAAGTCTCTGTCTCCATCTCCAGAGACTTCAAGGCCCGAGGTGCAAGGGAGGTTCCCCGCTACTTCAGTGTCACCTCAGGTACGTGTCTCTCGTGACACCCAGCCAGCACTGTAAAATGAACCCTGTATGTCTAATGCAGTTTTCCTAAGACTGCAAACATCCCCCAAAAATATCAATGCGTCTTTTCATTGTGACAACACAGCTCAGATTTGGAGCTTAGCTAAAGAAAAAAAGTTTATATTAGGGTTTTAAAGTGATTGTGTGCAGGAGCACTAGCATTTATCTAATATTATAAAATAACATCATGGCTATTATTACTGTCATTACTACTTTTTTTTCATTTACTGACTACTAGACCCCCTCTTTCAGTACTTGTTTGCTGTGGGGTGGACAGAGTAGGAAGCCTTTGAATTTTCAACAAGGCCCTGAAATGTTATACCCCTAAGACCTCATTCACACCTGGGAATGGGGCTTGATTGCATGAAGCTCAAAAATTCCTCCGTGAGACACATGTGATCTTCTGCGGGCGGGTGGTGCTGTATAACCCACTGACAGCTGCCATTACGCGCAAGTATCTGCGTCCAGGTTTGGTCATGCGTAGGTAATCACAGGCTGTGTGATTATGTGCGAACAACTGTGGATGGTGGCAGCTGTCAAAGGGTTCTACAGTGCCTCCTGTTGGAAGGGGATGACATTAGCCTCACGGAGGAGACTCATAAGATCTGACCCCATTTGCACATATGAATGGGGTCTTGAAAGCGTAGTTGAGAAGCTGGGCTTGGTGCAAACCCAGTTCACTTGAGTTCGCTCATACCCGCTCAAAACTCCGCAACCTCCTTCTCCTGACCCAGTCAGTGGCGGCAATGTAACTCCCCCAACTCATTGGGTTGGGTGGAGGGAGTGGCAGTCAGAGTTTTGAGCTGGCTTGGGTGAACTCAGGCAAACTGGGCTCGCACCAATGCCCAGCCTCATCACTACTAGCAAGCTTCTGAGGACAGAGGAGCTGTAAAATTCAGGTTAAAAGTTAATTCTCTGCACTGCTGCCCCCCTTTTTCCTGGCAACTTATATCTACAATACTTGCCTCTTTAAGTGTACTGACTATGCTGACAGCTCCCCTACTGTCATTTATTTAGGTATACTTTATGGACAGATCAGTGACACTTATCATGGCAGAAGACAATGCCAGGTTCCACAGAGAGACCTCGCTGGAGTGCCCCATGAACATTTAGCTCTGGGTCACCCCAGTCTGTAGTTATGCCTCTGTCTGGTATTATAATGAAATTTGTCAGGTAAATTTGTAAAATCAGCCTATTCAAAGTCCGATAACCTAATTAATTATTTTAAACAAAATTTTCTTTAAAGTGGCACTAAACTCAAGAGTTACATCTTAAAAATGCATTCAAGTACCTTAACTATTAACAAAAATTTATTTTATATGTTTATCGATCAGCTGTAGATCCCCCAATCATCTCTGAATTGGTGCTGACACTGTCCTTCCTTCTGGAGGGTGGCTACTTTTGTTCCCCATGGTCCCTGTGCGTGTTGTAAAGTAGTCACCGCTCCAAGCTTGCTCCCATGATGGAATACAATCTCACGTTTAGTTTACTAATTTGTTATGAAATTATAGTCACACACAGGGACCAAGGGGAATAAAAGTAGCCACCCTCCTGAAGAAAGGATAGTGTCAGCACCAATTCAGAGATGATTTGAGTAGCTACAACTGACCGAATGCATTATTAAGATTTAACTACTGAGTTTAGTGCCACTTTAGCACTCCAATGTTCCTGTATATGTGTAGATATTTTTATAATAAAATGAATTGTGAAGCTTGATTGCTGCCACTTGTTGAAATTGATACTTACTAATAGTGCAGCAGAAAAAGATGCACCTGTAACTTGCATTCTGTAACAATAGAAGAGCTCAATACATTTATTGCAAAGTCTTCTTTCCTTCTTCCGTTCCTCCCCCCATTTCTTGACAGCAGGAATGTCTCTGAGATAAGTGCTCTGTCACACATAGGACCATGTTCTCATTTTGCCCAGTGCCCTGACATCTCTCAGAACAACAGGATGTGGATGTTTCTGGTCCTTGGCAAGAAGTGGAGATCATGTTTGCTCATTTTCGTTTTCCTACATTAGAAACAGTCTACTTCTAATAATCTTTTGCATCCTTACAGTTGTCAGAATTAACACTTGGATTTCTTCAGTCTTATATGATTGGAACATTTTGCTTACTGCGGTACAGTCAAGCCTCTTCAATGTCTCAATCTTGCCCATAATTCCTATCTTCCACATCCACCCTGTCCTTATCCATACCCATTCTTTGCTTGCTGTATAAATGGACCTGGACCATGGATATATGTGCTTCCAACAACACCACAATGGAGACCAAATAGGAGCTGGCTTGGAATGGATATAAATAGTAAGTACTATAGATGCAAAGTTAATCCTACATCTGTTATATTATCTAATTTAAAAATATGCAGTTGCATAGAATACGATAAATGTATGAAATGTTGTTTGATTGCAATGTATTAACAGTAATGCCTTATATGCAAAAATGGCTAGACAGAGTATTCTTCATTTGTGCCAGATGTCAGACCGGCAGTTTAGCAAATAGCTGTGCTCTGCACCACAATAACATTATTATGGATTGTATCATAGGTTTGTGTTGAAGTTTCACTCTTCATACTGCCCTCCACAGACCTTAGATGCACTTCTGCGCAGATCCTGAGTTTACGTAACTTTAAAGTAACCAATGACAAGTCAAATATTCAAAATAGCTGAACAATTATCATTAAAGCCATGTCATCAAATTGATTTATAGTGTCCCTGATTCTAGGAGCCTATGCTGACAAACTGTGTACTACATAAGCACATATCCATACTCACATAAAGAAGCTATACATACAGGAATGGAATCTGTTATTATCCAAAAAGACTTTATACTAAATATTCTGAACACCACACAAATTTATAACTGCTATAACAATTACATATCTGCAGAAAAGAACAATAACTGCTCTACCACAGCCCCCATACAAAAATGATAATGATGGCACACTGAACACTCCAGGCTTCATTCATTAAAGTATCTTTAATAAGGACCGTCTGTATTGCCCCTCAGCCACCAATCAGATTCAAACCTAGACTGGAAATAACAGTTGGATAGTAAAAGTTTCAATTTGACTGGTTACTGCAAGGATTTCTTATCAACGTCATTTTAATAAATGAGGCGCAATAGGTCCAGGATTTACCACTAGGCATAGTAAACTTGTGCCCAATGGGCAGGAGAAACAGAAAGGCCTCTTTTCCCTCCACATTTTTGTCACCCCATTAGTATCACCTCATATACGCATTGTGAAAATATTTTAGAACAGGTTAAGAGCAATAAAGCAAGAAAATAATATTTCTTTAGAAGCTGAAGGTGTCTACAAGGGATGCACCGATACCGGTATTTTGGTACCAAGTACGAGTACCGATCATTTTTTTCGATACTCGCCGATACCAATTACCGAGTAATGGAAGTCGCGTTCAGGAAGCCAGGTCGCTTGTAATGGCTCGCCACCTGGCTTCCTGATTAGCCGGAAAGCCAGGCAGAGTGTAAAGACTCGCCACCCGGCTTCCCGATTAACAAGAAAGTCTGTCCCCTCTTACCTTCATATGTCCAGCCTGTCACCCCTGGGGCTTCTCCAGCCAGAACGCAGCCTTCCTCCGGTACCCAGCCGGAGCCTTCTGGCCAGCCAATCAGGAAGCCGGGCACTGTGTAATGACGCAAAGCCCTGCTTTCTGATTGGCAGGTAGGCCGGCTCCTTGCTCCAAGCATGTAGCCAGCTTCCCGGCCAATCAGAATGTCGGGCACTGCGTCATTACACGGCGCCCGGCTTCCTGATTGGCCAGCTTCCCGACCAATCAGGAAGCCGGGCAGCGCGCCATTACATGCTGCCAGGCTTCCTGATTGGCCGGGAAGTCGGCTCCATGCTCTCTCATCACAAGTGACGAGAGAGCATGGAGCCGGTTCCCGGCCAATCAGGTAACCAGGCAGCGTGTAATTACGCGCTGCCCGGCTTCCTGATATAGGAAGTACTCGTGCTAGGCATCGGAGCATTTGGGCGAGTACTCGCCCAAATACTTGGTATCGGCACCGATATCGATACTAGTATCAGTATTGGTGCATCCCTAGTGTCTACAGTAATGGAAATCCATCCCTGAGTAGGTCACTTACATTATTTCAACTGTATATGGCCCAATAAGAGGAAAAAGCAAATTTCTGTGCTTTCCACTAATAAGGTGGAAAAAAATAAAAGTAAATATCTGTCTCACAGCTAACTAAGTAGATATCTGTCTCACTCACTAAGTCTAATAATACTCCATCTTACCACAAAAGATTTTTTTAAATTATCCTAAGGCTAACTCATTGCCGACGCCCTCTTCTGGACACAGGGGGTGCTGAAAAGCCTGAACCTGTCATCATGAGGCCCAGTGCTACAGAACACCTTCCTCTTCATAACATAGGGGGTTGTATTCGGTCTATAGAGGTGAACTGGGCATGACTGATAACACTGCTTGAGATAATGCAGCAGTGTGCACAGAGCAGCACTGGATTTCTTGCAGAATCACTTACCAAACAGGTATAACAAAAAATGCTTTCAATGGTATATTTAACAGACCAAAAGCGAGTAAATGACAATAAATGATTATTAAGGTTAACACTTTAAATCTCCAAATGCTGCAAAATTACAACTTCCGCACTATGGACAATAGGGTTTTGCAAGCAGTCATTGCATTTTAATATTAAATGTCAGGATTTGGCGAAAATGCAGAGCAGTTAAACATGATTTCGAACAAACACAGCTCCACTATTTTTGCCAATTCACAGAGTGATCACATTTGTAAACTGTGGTGACTTTGGACTTAATGTATATGTGAATTGGGGTGCTATTTAAATGAATGGCAATGCACCTCAACGCGCACATACCCGTGTGTTAACAAGTGTACTAAGAGGCAAAGCAGCAGGTCTCTGTGGCTGCATTAGAGGGAGATCAGCATACTTCCAATGGTTAATCCCCCCTTCCTATTATCAAATCCAGAAGCGACAAGGATTTTGTTATGTCAAGTTAAAAAATGATAGCGACATAAAAAATAAATACAAAATGTAAAGCCCTCGACTCCCACGTACGTGCACATACAAACACAAACAAGCGTGGGGTGCGCCTACGTGCGAAAATAACCATTGCACCACACAGGTTACATAACTCTACAAATGTTGGAGTGAGAGCAGTAATGCTAGGGTGTTAACCCTAAATTGATGAGCAGTAAAGGCTTTAACCTCTTGCCGTCCGCCGCCCGTAGTAAAAAAACGGACGGACGGCACTGCAGCATCTGCGGGTTGCCGTCTCCAGACGGCAATTTTTTTCAACTTATAGGCAATTTTGTGTACCGTGGGTTTTAGCCAGTTCACAGGTGGGTACAATTTTAAGCAAGTTTGGTATCTATTTACACGATGCAACCCCATCTTTTATATTTTACAAAAAAATTGGGTATTTTTGTGCACTTCAATTCATTTAAGTGTATTTTTTCCTCACAAAATGATTTGATAAACATTTGCACTAATATCGTGCAACTTAAAAAGTTGTTACTAGAATTTTTATATTCAACAGGGCCTATGCTTTTAGAATATGTATCATTGTTTGGGGGTTCTAAACAGTTTTCAGCCAAGATTTCAGATTTTCACATGTGTGTGCAAAACAATTGGTCTGATAACAAAGTGGTTAACTAAAAGAGGCCAGTCTCCATTATATTTCTTTCCATGACCCTGCGTAAGCATTGAAAAGAATGGCTATTGCCTGCTAAAGCTCAAGGGCCACACCATAAGTACCAGAGAGCTGATTTTCACCCTCAGGCCACAAGTTGGGCATACATAACCCACCAAAGCTCTACTGAATTTGCATTGTGTTAAAGATTAAACTGGGCACTGACAGATTCATTAACATTTTACTTAATTAGAGAACTGTCTCATTATATGGCTCCAGCTATAACAACAGTGTTTTATTTTTACATACAGTACTTACTATTATCTGAGATAAATTAAATGTTCCAGTTTATACTAGGGGGGATATTTATAAATGAGAGCAGGTATAACTATCAACTGTGCATAGTGTTTACTCCACACCGTCACTGCATTTTATGGGCCATTCATAAAATACAGGCTGCACTGTGACAACTGCAGAGCTGCAGAAAACACTCTGTGATAGGTGGAGATGCTGGTCACATGACTTTGACTTTGTTTCCCATTCATTATTTTGAATGAGGCTTTGCTTGCTTTAGAGCTCCAAAGTAAGTAAAGCAAGTAAAGTACTTTTGTTCATCAGTGGTGAACCTTTTTTTTTCTTAATTTATTATTATTTATTTATCTTTGTCCTAAATTAGCTACAGATTTTAGTATTACACATGATAGATCCCCTTTAAGTTAAGCAGGATGTGCTGCTTACAGGAAAATGTATTCTGTTCCTTAGCCCTTAGCACAGTAGCCAGTGGAGGTCAATGGAAAGATAAACTGCTTCCGCTCAGACAAGAGTTAGAAAACATAGAATTAGGAATATCTCTCACTGCACAGTGCAAATACGTGACACTAAAGATGAAACCATGTGTAGACGTCAGTATATGGAGCAGATACTTTATATTATGCGCTAAGACACACTGTAACTTGATCATATATGTTACAATACTGTATGTGTGCCACATGTGGAACAAGTTTCTCATTTTCATTTTTGATGATTTCAGGCAAGTGTGATCAGGTATGAAGCCTATTTAAAAAAAAGATTTTTTAAATAACAATGGCTTTGATTTAACCCATTATTAACCTTTAAGTAACCCTCAATCAGCCCTAATAAACTCACTCCTTCCCTTCTAGAACAATATTTGTTTAATTTAGCGCAATGTTGTGTTTTGAATGAGCCCCAATACTTTTGGTAGTATAATACATAATTATAGAGGCCTGTGCATCAGATGAAAATGAGACAACTAAGGATGAAAGAGGAACTACAGGATTCCATTTCCAAAGAGACAAGTTAGGAGCTATGCCTAACCAACTTCCATGCCTAATGGTTTCTAACGGTTGCCAATTACCCAATCATTATGAACAGAAGGAGCTTAACCCCTTAAGGACCAAGCTTCAGATGCTTGTCTTTCAGTTAAGGACCAAAGCAGCTTTTGCTGTGTGTGTTCAACCACAATTTCCATCTTTCTCATTTATTGCACCAACACATATTATATACCATTTTGTAAAGGACAAAAAGGGCTTTCATTTGATGTGACATATGTCTAAAAAAAGTTCTGTTATAGTGCATGAGGGAAGCTTAAACCTTTAAGGACCCATGACGGAATTATTCCGTCATGGGTCTTTATGGCGCGGACAACCATGACGGAATAATCCCGTCATTGGTCCTTAAGGGGTTAACACAAAGTCTATCTCAAGACAGAGGTTAAGCATGAGGTGTAATCTTTGTCCTGTCCCTTCTGGAGGCCCATGGAGCAGTCTGCATATGCTGACAAAGACAGCAAATTCTGGTGCCATGTAGGGTCCAGCATGACATCAATTATGGCTTTGAAATAGGAAGTGACTCTTCCCGGTTGAAATGATTTATGGTTATTACTCATAAATTGTTGATGATTATGAACCTTTAGTATGTGCTACTACAAGAGACTCGTGCATCAAGCTTTGTTTACATAACTCTAACACGAGGTTTGCTTGTTTTATGCATAAAAAGACTAAGAGTTTCAATCGGTGAAAAGTTAAGTTTGAGCGGAAACAATCTTCTCTTGGTCATTGTTTCCTGGAAGAGATATGGGCAGGAAGTAGGGGTGGGGAAGAGCAGGCTTCCAGTAATGCTTGTCACATTTGCCTGGAGTGTCACATTCTTCACCTCAGCAGTCAGGCAGGGATTTGATAGCAGTATAGACAACGTGCATTTCCACTAGCCGCTACTGTGTAAGATTGTCACAGCTGTCTCATGCAGAAACAACTCTTGGCATTCATTTCACTTTCCTTATTCTGCAGAACTAATTACAGTGAGATCGTGAATATGCCCTGATGATCTTCAACAAACTGTGAAAATATTTCCTTCTAGATAGCTTATGTTTCAGATATGAATAGGAAAGCACATTGTGTAATAGCCCTTTATTTTGTATTTGATTATAGTACCAAACTATAGATATACAGGGTTTCTGTGTCCCATAATGTATGTGTGATACAATGATGTGAAATGTATAGGTAAGAAGCCAATCCAATAATGTCAGTGTAGGGATCTAAAATTTTTCCAAATTCTGCTATATTTTTGTGATCTGTTAGTGTAGATTAGGCAGCTTGGCTGTGTTGGCTTGTGTTCTCTAACAGGGTGAAGAGTTTGGAGAAGTGAACAATCTAGGACAACATAGCTGAACTGGAAAGTGAGCTGAATTGGAGAATTTGTCCAAATCAGCTGTTTTGTCCTAGATGGTTCACTTCTCCTGCCTTCTCCAAACTCTTCACCCTTTTGTGAATAACCCTGTAAGTCTGTATTGATTATTCTCAGTCACTTGCTGTGTTGGGTGTCCACCAGCAGGGTGTGCTAGAGATAACACTCCACATTAAGGATGTTTAAAGGAGAACTATGGGGTTAAGGCTTTTCCCCATAGTTCTCCTTAGGGTAACGGGAGGACACAAACTATCGTCCTCCCATCACCCTAAGCTCAGTATAGCGCGAGCTACAGCTTGCGGTATACTGAGACGCCACAGTATACCGCGAGCTACTGCTCGCGGTATACTGAGACGCCGCAGATGAAGCGGATCCCGACAATTATGTCTGGATCCACCCAGCTGCGTGAGTGACAGCTGTCTCTGCCTATCTAGAGGCAGAGCCAGCTGTCCCCGCCCCCTCCCCCATCTGATCCGCCAGTCAGCGCTGGCGAATCGGAGCGGGGGGGAATCCAGCCCCTTTCTTGTCATGGCAGAGAGCTGTGACAGGATCGAGAGGTGAGCGAATGCCGGTATCTGTTCGCTCACCTCCCAATCTACTGAGCCGACCTGTGACAGTCCCATTGTCACAGGTCGGCTAGAACTATGAGGTGAGTGAAAAGCACTTACCTCGTAGTTCTCCTTTAATACCAGGCCAATCAGTAGGTCTGGTGAGCCTGGTTTGCATGCTGGGAGAGATATTAAATATCTAAGGCACTTCCTGGCACATTCTCTTCTTTGCCCCAGGGTCTCCACCCTGAGCGAATGCATCTCTGATTCACCAATTTAGTCCCCAGGGCTCAAGGCCTAGGAGTATGAAAGCTGTGTGGCTCTCCTATCCTGGTAGGTATCCCTAAGTTATTGGCTGCTATGATACAGTGCTTCAGTACAGGCCTTGAGGAAGCACAGCTACAGTTGTCCCCCATAGAGATGGTGAGCGATGGACTGAGTCTGGAGAAGTAACATTGGAACCTCCTCATTACTATCCTGCCTTGATGTAATGACTGAGCATACACTAGGACCTCAGTTGCAAGGAACCAGAGTTACATGTTATGTGCCAACCAGTAAAGTTATACAGAAAGAAGGATTTATAAGATAGAGCACTATACAGAAGACTAAAGGTTAATGCTTTGATGTACTTAAAACCGGTATCCTGTGCCCCCTCATCCTTCCACCATTATTTCCCTATGCAAATAAACTACTTAAAATTAGGGATGTCCCAATACCGATACATTTTCCTGAGTACTTGTACTCGTGAAAATGCCCTGATACTCAAGGCCGACACCGGCCCTTTAAATTTTTAAACAGCAGCGGCTGTCTGAGTTCCCGCACTTGTGGGGACCTCGGCAGCCTCCTGGGGACCTGCAGATAGCTGTCCATGGCAGTGTCTGTCCGGTTCTTTATCTCCTCCTCCTTCCCGGCGCAGGCGCAACCATCGACAGCCCCAGGGGCAGAAGTACGGGCGGTGCAGCCGGAGCGGCTGCCCCAGGGCTAGAAGCTGGGGATTTCCGTCGCCCACTGACAGGGGAGGCCTGGGTCGGGAGAAGGATAGAGGACGGGGGGCCCAGCAGCGGAGATGGTTGGCCGACTGAGATGGTCTGCTGGTCCAGAAGTGGAAGAGGCCGGGTCCCAGCATCGCCGGTCCGGTAGTGGAGGAGGCTGGGTCCCAGCTCGGCGGTGAGATGGAATGCTCGCAGAGCCACTGCAGATCGCCACATGTCTCCTCGGTAAAATCGTCACGCAGCCGGGTGAGAGGAATTCTGCTTTGGGGACATGTATACAGAGAATACATGTCCCCAAAGCAGAAAACATGTCCCCAAAGTAAAATACTATTCTGCCTTAGGGACATGCGTTCTGCTGTGGTGACATGTGCTCTGCTTTGCGGACATCTGTATTTAGCTCTGGTGACAAACTGCCCTAAAATCATTAGTCTGTGTTGTTTTAGAAAAAATGTCACATGGTCCTTTAAGAAAAAGTATCTGTAATTGGTATCTATATTGGTCTTAAAAAAGTGGTATCTGGACATCCCTATTTAATTGTACTCTAAGAAAAACATTAGTAGAAGCACTGGCACAAAAAGCTGTACTGCAACTCATCTTCCTCTCTAGTTTCTAAACATCTAGGAAATATTGTATTTCTATGACAGAACTACTGTATAAACCTAGTATATACATATATATGTATACATATATTGTTTATTATTTCTCTTTAGGAGTTTATCTACTGATTATTCTCGTTGTGAGCCCTTACATGAGCTGGATGACTTCAAAAATAATGTGTGACCATCGGATCATACTTGTCTATGTGAACCGCACCAGGACTATGGAGAGCATGGTGGTGAGAAAAGGCTTGTATGTAGAGGAGAAGATCTGGATGAAAAGAGAGAATGATGTGCTGATCCAAGCAATGCACATTTGGGGGGATGAGTGCAAGGAGCAACAAAAGCATTTTAATGGGTTCAAATAGCGTATGCTGCAGTATTTACCCTCATGAAAATAAACAGTAGTTCAGTTTCGAACAAAGCAGGTAAACTGGTTTGGCAGTGGGAGATAGTGTAGAAGTGATGAAGCTTCTTTGTAGCTTCACCAAACCCTGCTACAGTTAAGAGCCTGCCGATTCAGCCTTTAAAGTGTATGCACAAACATTTTTGTATTAGTCTTGGGAACCTCTTTATTGTTTTTATTGCTGCTTGTGTACCCGCTAGGTAGACTCACACTCTTTTTGTCCTGGTTATTGTTGTCACAAAGAAAAAATATAATGGGAAATCCACATTTTTGAGTTGCCACCAGGACAAGAGGTCAGGGTGAATCTTCTAATGAGGACACTTGTTTTGGTGACAACTCTCTAAGAGGATAATTCACCTCACTTGATAGATTCCCGCTTACCGTATATACTCGAGTATAAGCCGTCCCGAATATAAGCCGAGGGTGGGAAATGAGGCAGCTACTGGTAGATAGATACCAATAAAATTACATGAATATTTATTTAAAAGAAAAATAACCTAGCTCTGTAAGTGGAAAAGGGGGTACAGGGCTACATACAGATCATTTAATACATTCATGTTAGTATAATTGTAAATGTATTGTCTGCACTGTATTAGCAGTATATACTCTACATAGAGTATATACTGCTAATACAGTGCAGACAATACATTACAATTATACTAACATGAATGTATTAAATGATCTGTATGTAGCCCTGTACTATGGATCATTTAACCCATTCATGTTAGCAGAGGATCATTGTAAATGTATTGTCTGCACTGTATTAGCAGTATATACTCTACATAGAGTATATACTGCTAATACAGTGCAGACAATACATTACAATTATACTAACATGAATGTATTAAATGATCTGTATGTAGCCCTGTACTATGGATCATTTAACCCATTCATGTTAGCAGAGGATCATTGTAAATGTATTGTCTGCACTGTATTAGCAGTATATACTCTACATAGAGTATATACTGCTAATACAGTGCAGACAATACATTACAATTATACTAACATGAATGTATTAAATGATCTGTATGTAGCCCTGTACTATGGATCATTTAACCCATTCATGTTAGCAGAGGATCATTGTAAATGTATTGTCTGCACTGTATTAGCAGTATATACTCTACATAGAGTATATACTGCTAATACAGTGCAGACAATACATTACAATTATACTAACATGAATGTATTAAATGATCTGTATGTAGCCCTGTACCCCCTTTTCCACTTACAGAGCTAGGTTATTTTTCTTTTAAATAAATATTCATGTAATTTTATTGGTATCTATCTACCAGTAGCTGCCTCATTTCCCACCCTCGGCTTATATTCGGGACGGCTTATACTCGAGTATATACGGTACTTCATTTTGGATCCCAGGAAGGACAGTTGGTAAAGAAAAATCTCCTCAGTGGTACACAGGGAGTAACAAATTAAACTGACAGAGGTTTTAATACTTTGGAACTTTGTTCATAATACAAGTCTGTGTGAAGACACTTGTGATGGGTGGTGCTGCTATTACTCACCTATGCCAGCATAAAGCACCAGAGAGGGAGTGCAGGAAGCAGCTTATGTCAACTGCTTTTACAATTTGATAGAGTCGTTTGAAGTGAACTGTATAGTCAGTCATTTTTTTTTTCTTGAATTAATGCTTATATGCTCCTGCTTCTGCTACTTAGATAAAAATCTTTTTTGGGCCGGTCAGCACTGGGCCTCCTGTTTTGCAATGCAGCATATTTGCATGGTCTGTTGCAATTACAGCTTGCACGCGCTATTTTGTCTGACTGCACCGGACCGGAACGCAGGCACTAATGTGCCACACGTTCCAGTGTGGCCGATCACATTGCGGCCAGAGGGCGTGGATGCGGTGCCATTGAGTTCAATGCACCGTCATGCCCCCTCCCGCCCCAAAACAAAGTGAGCCTGCCAGAATGCGATCCAGTGCGTTTCGGCCACAACCTGTCCAGAACGCACTGAAGATGGTGTGAATCAGCCCTAAGCCTCTGTCATGCTTGTTAACCTCAACCCATATTAATAAAAATAAGGAGTTCAAGGACAAAACAAAACAATAATGTAATAATAAAATCTCAAACTTTTTATCAATAAAAAATGCAGATCCAACAATTATACATTACTCAGCAAAGCCCATGTTTACATTTTTGCTAAAGCTGAGTTTACATGGACGGCAGCCTTCCTCACCCTCTGAAAGTGGAGGGTGGTGGAGCAGTCCCATTCATTGCAATATTTACATCTGCCGAGTACAAGTACTCGACCGAATACTCGGTATCAGCACTAGTATCGGTGCATCCATACTTATAGTCATCATTTTTCCAAACAGCTGGCTACAACTGCTTCCCCAATTGTTGAGAACAAGATCACAAGGCCTAGTACAGTCTCTAGCAGCTATCCATCTACTAGCTCAGAGAAGAGAGGAGGGAAAAGTGGGGCAGTGATTTGCCTCCCCATGCCTATGTTTGTCAAGACACACACAGTTTACTATCACACGCAAGGATGGCTCCATAGGACCCTGTAAGGTAAAGGAGCCATTAAACAGAATATCAGGGCCAGTGCTCAGAGGACCAACTGATTCTGCAGCAAATAAAAACATTTAAACTTCAATGGGCAGCATCCCTTGTCCAGCAATTTCATCAGCATTTCTAATAGCATAAAAACATTTTGACTTTAAAATCACTTTAAGGATTACTGTATTGTACACAGTATCATTATGGACATACTACCAGAATTATATCTGGGCCCTACTTGGCCTTATTTTGTGTTTTCAACTTGCAAATATTTATTATGAACCTCTCTTATGTGACTGACCTAAAATACAGTGATATGACATTGACAATAATAAAAATATGCACCATTAATTTACCGGGCCTTTGAAATAAACAGAGAAATATTCTAAAGATAAGCATGTTCAGAATTAGTGTCTGTAGTAGGATAAAAAAGGGTTTGTACTATCTATTTTTTCAGGAGAGATGTAAGAAACACTGTACCTTGTATAATGGCATAAAAAGCTAAACCTTGTCATTTATTTTACAGCATGCATTCAATGCACCCTCACTGACCTAACTAATACATCCATTATTCATTTTGGAAAAAGTAAAAACGACAAACCTTTAATCTGGATTAGGGTAAACATTATGATCATTTGAAATACAATACAGAGGTTTATGGACATCTGTAAAGTATCAAATACAGTAAATATAACAATACAAAAATACAAATTCAGTGACATTTGTTGGTATATCATCTAAACCAGGGGGGTTCTTTAACATTTTAACTCAAAGACCCTATGTTACAAATATTGGAAACTAAGAACATTGACTACAACCCCCCACCTTGCAAGCACTGGGGTTCCCTCCCTATACATGGATATCATATGTGATAGTCATTTAGTCGGGAATCACCACTATTCCACCGATTTTGTTCGCACCAGAAGACAAGGAGAGTTGGAATTGGGCCCAGAGTAAGAAACAAGAAGGTGTTACCTCTTTTTAGTCTCCCTGTTTCTAACTCAAAACTCAGATGGAGCTGTTCGATAAAGGATGAGTGACACCTCTAAATCATTCACTTGTGGGTAAAAAATTGCAGCTTTAGCCACTGAGCTCTGTTAGCAGTAGGATTTGTACAAAACTGGGGGAATTAGGCATATGAGAACACATGATATATTAGAAACCTAAGGGTAAGTTCACAACCCGCATGGCTGCTTCTGTTTGTGTCCCTGGACAGTCCTGATACTCTCAATCGAGCAACATCACACTGTTTATATTTTTTGTAGAACTTTATTGAAATGCCACAGGTGACAATTCATCCAGTTCTATAGGCTTACTGTGGCGCGATGCAGTTGTACCGCGTCTCACTGCAGTGAGCTTAAAAAAATTGGGCTCGGTTCACACCACTGCATTCCAGCAGTGTACGGCATGCAGTACTTTTTAAGTGCATTGTGGTGAGCCTGTAGAACTGAATAAAATGTCACGTCAGTAAAATTCTAAAAAAAGAAAGAAATGCAATGCGGCTTAATTGAGCGCATTGGCACTGTCTGGGGACACGCACACCAGCAGACATTGCGGTTGAGCACGGTTGCTGTTGTGAATGTACCCTAAATCTCCATCTGCACAGTAGACTACATGATATTAGGTACCTGACTTTTTTTTTTAGTTCTGACCATCATAAATAAAGTAAGAGAATGTTTACAGAGCCACCATACCCATTTTTCTTAAATAAGCTTAGTGGAATGATTATTACACCATTTGAAACACATCAGTATTAACCCCTTCGTGACTGACGACGTACAGTGTACGTCGCCAGCATCGGGGCTGTTTAAACAGACTCCCGGCGACTTTTGCCGCCGGGACTCTGTTTAAATTTGTAGAGCCGACTGTCGGCTTTACAACAGAAGCGATCCTGGCGACTTACCTGTCACCAGATCGCTTCTGTGTCCCGAAGAAGGGTCCGCCCCCCCCCTCGCCGTGCTTCCCGGGCTCCGTTGCCCCTCCTACGGGCCCGGGACCGGCATCCTAGGTGTCCGCATGGAGCTGGGGAGGAGGTCGATGAACTTCCGTTCATCGATCCCCTCCCCGTTCTATGGGACCGGGAGCGATGCAGATTGCATCACTTCCGGTCCCTGGGCTGTCAGTTCTGGGCTCCTGCAGCCCAGGTCTAAGCTATTGAAGTGCGATCTGCACTTCAATAGCTCATTTCTAGTGTAAAGGTGACACTGAGGGTCTTTTGGACCCCCAGCATCACCTTAAAGAGTACCTGTCACCACCATCTGCTATCACATGGGGGGGCTTGTAAGCCCCCACCCCCCATGTGAGAGCAGTCAAAGTAAAAAAAAAACCCCAAAAAACAGTTTTTAAAATTAAAATCAAATAAATCTAATAATAATGAAAAAAAACCCTATGTAATTAGTATTGTCACCAGACAGTAGACAGAGATTTTGCTACTTCTATAAACAGCGCAGTTTTGTCAAAATATTTCACTGATAAAGAGAGGTTCTGTAGGAATTCCCCTTCCAATTATACACTTATTTGTGTATTTTATTCTCTTGTATTATACACAGCAGAAATGTCCTTAGCCAGTTCACCACCATTTTGGCACGCATGTTAAAATGAGGGACCTGGAATTACTTCTCTTGCTCTGGCATGTGCAGCAATACTCAATATGTGTTGTGCCTTTGTTTACATATTTGCGTGTGCCCTACATGAATGTTTGCGTTAGTATGTGTGTGTGCTGGGGGTGCTATTACATGTTTTTTTAAATGATATTTTATTTTATTTTTTCCCACTAAAAAGCGCCCTATGTGATAGCATTGTGCAGGTGACAGATACTCTTATTGGTAATATCAGGGGTCTATTAGATGCTCAATCTGCTGTTTACCCTGCTTTGCAGCCAGGATTTTTCCCAACTTTGAACCTGGAAGTGTGCAGGCTATGCGCTTCCGGATTCACACTTTGCAGAGGACATCTATTTTCCTTGATATCTTCGCACTCACCATACTGACATTGTTTATTGTGGCACCAGGATACCAGTAGAGCCCAGGAATCACAGAGGAGGGCACACTGAGAGTCTCATAAAAGTGATCAGGTAGCTTTACAGCTGCCCAGATCACTTGACCTAAAATAGTCCTTAGCCTGATAAAAATAGAAACAAGTTCATGGCTGCTGCAGCTTGTTTTAACCCTTTCAAACTCAGGACACAAGGTCCTGAACTGGCTAATAATGAGAAATAAAGAAAATATGCCAAAATATATATAGCAGTCCTGAAGATTACATTTGTAGGACCCATATTTAAATAAACCTGTGTTGATATACTGAGTTTGTATCTCACTTCCTCCTTAGGCACAGTGCATAGAACAAACCACTCTACTGGTTCCAATTACTCTTCCAAGTGTTGAAGTCAGAATTACAGAATGGCAGAATATGACGGTGAGTGATAACGATAACGTAGATAGATTACTATCTTTTTTTCATATTTTACTTTTGCTAAATGTATTCACACAATTGGCTTTATTTACTAAAGGAGTAACGGTTGTTTGCTTTGCAAAGTAAATGTTTACTGAGCTTAGCAAATAAGGTGACACTGTGCTTAATAAAAAAATAACTTCAAGTAAAATTTGAATTAACCCTTGCAGAGAAGCTTCCCCTGCACTGAAAGGGTCAAGTGCTCTTGAATAGGGTAAAAAAAAATGGTATACTCACTCAATCTTCCAAATTGGCTGGCTCTTAGACCTGTCCCTGAAGCGTCTTTCCCCTCTGCTGCAGCAGTCTATGGTCCATGAGTCATCAGTCCAGGGCACAGTGTATAAGTCATGAGGATTTTGAGGGAAATAATAAAAGCAGCACTGCAGCGTAGGAGGAGACAGGCTGGAGGAAGTGCTGTCACAGCCAGCCGGCTCAGAGGATCAGGTGAGCATAACTTTATTTTGTTCCTCCCTAGATCAAAACGAGCAGTTAACCCTTGCACTGCGGGGTTGGCCCACTGCAAGGGTTAATACAATTTTTAACCGGAGTTGATGGGCATATTGTACAGTGTATCTTTTTTCTACCTATATAATGATATAGTCCTGTATCCTGGGAAGAGGCTGCATCATAACACAATGACATCATCTTTAGATACTTATTTAAATTAATAATAATCTCCCTGTTCAACATGCTAAAATAATCTCTGTGACCCCATGGTCAGGATTGGTCTGCAGAATTTGGTAAACTATACAGCAATGCCCACATTGGTTTCAGTGTAACTGAATATTCATTTTTGAACAATGACTTGATATTACTGATGGTTTTTATGATAATTTGCTCCACTAACTATTGCTCTTTCTATTGTTGCTGTTTTTATTTTGTAGGCAGCTCAACAGGGGACTGAGGTCTTCTCACTTCTGAAACATATGCTAAATGTCACACAAAATATAAAGACTACGGAGTGTTTTTCCAAACAGATAAAGAAACTGCAGCACAGTGTAAGAGAAATTCAAGGTCTTGTACATAGAGCATGGAGGTTTGCAAACAACAACACTAATCTTAATCCGGAATCAAATAATGGTTCATATCACTTACGGTACACAAACTCTTCAGACATCACGGACATCTTTAAAAATTTTTCCAAACTTCTTCAGGGTAAAGTGACTTTTCTTATGCAGACCCTAAGAGAAGGCAACTGCTGATGATTGCTAGTGAACCAAATGTAATACCGACACTTAGATATATGAATATACGTATGAAGTCCACAGACTGGAACTAACTTAAAGACACACAATTTCAGCCGCTCATAAGTATGCTTACTTACATCTTCAACTGTATAATACTGTTGGTTGAATCAAGGCATGCAGTTCAACCTCAAGTGAGTATTATTGTCTTCTAACTGACATCAAATAAATATGGACTGCTGCTTCTTTGTCAAAGTTGTCCCCCATAACGTATACCAAGAAATGGTATGTATGCTGGCTAAAGTCACATACACTGAAAAAATGATACCTGGATGGTAAAAATTCGTACTAACAAACACTGTATATTAACACTCCTTACAGGAAATGGTTACTAGCATAGCGGTCACTTAAGATAACCAAAAGTTTCTAGTTCTATATTGAACATTTGGAAATTTAAAGAGGTCTTTTATCAAATGGCTTCCATTCTGTAATTCTCTACAGAGAAACATTGTATGAATGCATGGCACTAGTAATCCCAAAGTCAACAAGTTTTATTATATGACGATCACATACTCCACTGGTTAAAATGACAGACACAAGGACTATGATGTTCTGCAATGAGTTGTGTTCAAGATTATTTTATAATGCATCAAGAATTTGAAATGGAAATGTATTTAATGAGAAGACTTAAGTTATTATTAGATGACAAACGTGTGGTTTTGCTGTTATTTAAATGTGGTTTTGCTATGATATTTGAATAATTTTTGTTGTAGTGTAAAAAGGTCATGTCAGTCAGAATTCGATTTCATTCCACCCTTAAATGTGAAGGTAACAAATGGAACAGTATACATAAAAATAATCCTTGCAGTAAATAAAAGGAGTTCACAGATCCACGTGCAATAGATATTAAAATTAGACCTGGATCGTCTACAGCAGGGGTGTCAAACTCAATTTAATCGTGGGCCGCATCAACATTATGGTTGCCCTCAAAGGTATCTGTAAGACTATATAAATGTATCTAATCTTTATCATAATTGCCTCTGCATTCAATTATCACTGATTTTAGTAATAACTTAATATCGAGATCTGAAAGTGGAAGTCTAGGAAATGGCCTGGTGGGCCAGATTCGGCCCCTGGGCCTTGAGTTTGACACATGTGGTCTACAGGAACAATAGCCTAGGGCCAGATTGGCTGAATTCACAGTTTATGCTCTGTGCTTTGGTGCGTTACCGCATACATGTTAAAGTGCACTGCATTAATGAAGCGAAGCCCATGCATTTTAAATGCACTGCCAACGGATCCTAACGCCAGCAACAACTTACATGACCCTTTTTTACAACACAGCATACCACAGCGCACGGCATGTGTGTGGTTGCTCTGCAGTATAAGTACATTACTCACTAGTACTCATCACTATACAAACCACTAATACTCACTACCAGTTCTGTCCCCAGTGGCGGAACTACCGCCATAGCAACCCACGTAGCCGCTAGGGGGCCCGAGCCGAGGGGGCCCCGGTGAGGACGAGAGAACTTGTACAATAAGTTCTTCTGCCGTCTTCCGACTCTTCACTTGTATCACAGAGCAGCTGTGGGTACATGACCCCTCCTGTCAGCGTGAGCTGGATAGTGCTCAGCTCTTCCTGATCAACGGTAGGTGTTCATGGACATTCCTCCTTCATGCAAACAGCATACTGAGGTGAGCTGGGCTGATCTACACGCTGAGCTCTCTCCATCACATCTCGCAGCTGCAAGAAGTAATGTAACCCGACCTGGAGGGTGATTAATGTTGCAGTGATAAGGCAGTTTAGTGTCCACTGAGTACAATCTATGTGTTCACTTAACCCCTTCATGACTGAGGCCCTTTTTTCCATTTTTGCACCCATGTTATATTCCACATTTTAGGCCTGAAAATGACGTAAAACCCCCCAACATTATATATTTTCTGAATGCCAAGACCCTATAGAATAAAATGGTGGTAGTTGAAAATTTTTATGTTGCGCAATATTAGCGCAAGTGGGGTATTTTCCATTAATTATTTTATGCTGGGGGAAGGTGCACAATGCACACCCTTTAATAAATCTGAGAAATGGGGTATAATAATTAACACTGCTGCCACCAATGAAGCTGGGGAAAGGGGGGGGGGGGGGTTTAAATTACACATGTAATTATACACTTTTCCCTAGCTTCATTGGTGGCAGTGTTAAAGTAGAGCGCAAGGCAGTAAAATAACTCACATTTTTAACCATTGCCTCCCCACAGCTCTTATTTTTGCTGCATACAGTTTCTAATCTCAATTTAAATACTTATTTTAATCTTTTTTTAAGTGGTTTCATGACCACAAAGCTCTGGCAAATGTGCCAGTCAGCACAGCTCGTAGGCAGTAACTCTTTTAGGATCAACAATGCCTATGGACTCCGGTAGGATGACGTTACTGCTCTGAAGATTCCGCTTGAAAAAAGATTTTAAAATATTTCCATTGAGATTTATTAGAAACTGTATGCAGCAAATATAAGCGTTGTGGGGTGGCAACATTAGTGGGGGGTGTTCAATTGAATTTTTTTGGGAAGGGGCCCCATAAAACTTTTGCTATGGGGCCATGTGGTTTTTACTTACGCCCCTGTCTGTCCCTACTGTTTTTGCCGCCTGAAGTGATGTCATTCTGGTTGGAAGGAGGGTGTGTGCTGAAAGGAAACACTTGTCATGCAGGGGGAAAGGAGTTGTGGGGGCTGCAATGGATGCTGGACTACTCAGGTCTTGCCAACCGGTGACGTCAGTGTGCTGGTTGGGACGCC